TTTTGACCGGGTACGTACAATGGATGCTTCGGAGACAGTGGCAAGTTGAGGTGCACAAAGCACAGCACCCCTCTTCTAAGGAGACAGTTTACTGCGAGCCGCTGGGGAGCAATTTACTTAATTTCTGAATGCATTATTATGCTAAATGTATCCTATCGGTTTAAAGCAGGTGGCTGCCTGTAAATGAGGATTTGTGGTTTGGCTCAGACACGTTCTGTGAAGTGCTCCTCTTCATAAAAGCTTTTGCTAGAACTTCCTTTGTCAATTAGGGAGCCTCTCCAGGTAGAGAGGGGCAAACTGTAATACAGATGCTGTGGCTTATCAATAAGCTGCATAACTCATTGGTAATTCTTGAACACAGACTTTTTTTTCTCCTGGATTCAATATGAACCAAAAACTGGAGTTAGACATGCTGGTTCTCTCTTGCGTAAGCGTTCTTTCTGCGCTAAGCCAGTAAGGATCTGTGAATCTCTTAAGTCCTCCTATTTGAAATGAGAGGTCATGTTTATTTGGCATGATCGTTTTAATGTGCTTATTCTTAAAGTCTTCTGGCAAGTAGTAAATCTCCCCAGCCAAGCGTGCTTACCACGGATTTACTATCTGTGCTACGGCTGCTGTGTGTTACCAGCACACAGCGCCCATCCTGCCTGGACAGCCTTTAGATGTGGGGAGGGGAATTGCGTTAGGGGCACCGGGACAGTGAACTCCAGTGGGAAGTGTCAAAAAATGCCTGATTCAGAGTGATGGCATCCTTCCCCATCCCCTTTGCATCATCATCTGTAGGTGTTATAGCCATCTTTTTCTAAGGAAGAACACTCAAGTTCTGATCTTTTTAACATGGTTTTGCTACAGTTAGTCCAGTGGAGACAGCGTGTAGCACCTGTTCAGTGAGCCTTTGAGATGAAAGTAAAAGATCGTGGCTCTTTCATAACATAAAAACTATGAATTCATTCAATTTACTGCTCCAGAGACTGTTTCATTCTTCCTAGTGGAAGGCTGTGATGAATGAAATTTGCAGTGTGATCATCTGGCTTGTCAGATGAGTTTGCTGTCAGCGCAGGGGAGACTCGCACGAAGCGATGCGGTGCTTATGGTTCAACATCAGTAGCTGGACTTGGCCTAGTCTGCACGTGATGGTTGATATTAAATTGTTCATAGAGAGCAGCAAACCGTTTTTCTTGTAATTCTCTCTGTGGAACCTAGTTCCTACCTGTGAAAACACAGCCAGCTGCTACACATGGTTGAAAATAAGAATGAAAATACCTCATTGTGGGATCTGAATTTTTTTACTAAGGATTGTCACTTTACAAATTTCAGGAAGGTGGGTATGTGGTTTGGAATATGGGCAGCATCTCAGTTGAACGCATAGATGCCCCTCAGAGGAAAGACTTTCGATAGGGGATAAAAGACATTCTCTATCCCAACCCTATTCAGAAAAGAAAGTCCGTAGCCAGCGCAAGCTCCTGAAAAATCTGTCTGAGCTTCTCTTATTTGTCGCCCTAAACTGTGTAAGGATTTCTTATGCTTCTTTCTGCTCCAGTATCAGTGGAACGCTGTCTTGCCACTGGTGTTTTTTTCTTAGGGAGCTGTTTTAACCAGAAACTGTAGGTGGTGCAATAATTGGCTGAACAGAGCCCAAAATGCACACGCTGCTCAGCGAAAGAAGCAGCTGACAATAGTAATTTGAAAAGTACCTGTTGGTGTACAGCAGCTGTTCTGAGGCAAGTTTGCTGTGCGAGCCTTTGGTGACAGGCAGTTTTCCTGCAGAATGGAGGAGAATAGGAAATGGGTATTGATTTCTGCCACTTCATTCCAGCAGCGTGCTGGGGCAGTGCTCTTGGCTCTGCCGGAGGTCAGAAAGGGAAGGGAATTCTTGCAGGACTTCAAATGTTTGAGTGTTGTAGGTGGGCACATTTTTCTCAGAACAGTACATTGGTTTGTGTTTGCTTTTCCATCTGTCTGAAGAAAGTGGCATCGACTAGTAATTATATACTAAGGGATTTTTGATCAATAACCAACCAAGAGGAGCAAAAGAGTCTGTAAAAGGCAGTAGAGGAAAAATTTCCTTCCAAGCGTATCCCGAGTCAGCTTTACTGAGCTGTGTATGGCCACAGGGCTGGGGTACAAAGGGGTTTAAATAAGGGAATTTCTAATTTACTGCTTGGTAGAAAGTCTTTACCTGCTTAGCTAGGCTTCCCACTATGATTTGTGACATGAAGGTTTTCTGCAGATTGGTGTCTGGTGTTTCCTTCATACTGAGTATATAGAGAAACCTTTAAAACATCCACTGTCTGAATGCGAAGAATCTGATTTTTGCCTCTCTACTTTCTACAAAGGAGAGAAGAGACCAGTGGACACACAGAGGACGGTGTTACTGTCAAACTTTTTAAAGGAAGGGGGATTGTTAACACACTATTTAAATGTAGTTCCTCATCCTGATCTACAGAGTGTGTTTTTTATGTTCCCTTCTCTCTGGCACTCACAGGAACGATGTTTTTAGATGTAGAAAGGAGGAGGAGATCTCTTTAGTCTGAGGAGCCTGTATCTGAATCCCTCCTGTCCTGAAATAGCAGCTTTTGAAGCAGGATCGCTGTTATTCAGGAACAGTGAGTGTGTGCAGTTTTTCTTTAGAAACAGAGATAGGATCCCTTTGTTGAAGTTCTTGGCAGATTTCAATGAAGTGAATAGGCACGCATTTATAAATCTCCATAATGGTATTTACTTCTGGAAAAAAAAGAAACAGATCAATACTAGGGCTTTTTAATAATTAAAAATGTGTATTTCTGTAATCTCCTATTGATTTCTCCATTTATTCTTCAAGAGCTTGCAGAAGTCAGTAAATTTAGGGCTTTCTCCATGAGTGGCAGTTTGTGCTGGCTTTCCTTCAATAGTTATTACTTTTCTGCATGGCCTATCCATCATCTTGAGTGCTTTCTAATTTATTGTAGGGATAATGTTGACAGCAGTGACATGGAGGACATACACTGTGGGCTTGAAATGAAGACACCAGGATGTAGATTTCTTGACAGAAACATAATCTTTCCGTCTTGTGAAGTTAGCAATCTACCACTCTGCTTTGATTTATGGGGGAGGCTGGATGGGAGGATGCTCTGGGAAGCTGGGTACAGGCCAGACTCGAGCACCTCACATCCAGAAATGATGCAGAAGCTTCTTGTATTTTCCTATCAGTTTTTATTCCCTTTTTTAAATTATTCTGCTAATGTCAGTAACATCAGCAAGTCTAGGTGTTAGCCCAGCCGAGTGGGTAAATGTTCTCTCCGGCTACAGTTTCCCTTGGACCCATCCTTGTGTTTGTACTTCCAAACCCCTGTAGGCTCTGAACTCCTGCGCTGGGAGTTGCTGCTGGTGGGAAGGAATCCAGATGGGGTTGCTTGTCGTGTGACTGCTATGAAAGGTCTGTCAGCACTTCTGGGTTGGAAAGACAGGGAAGGTGAAATTTTGCCTCTTTCCTGATCTGTAGAAGGGAGGTGCTGTCGCGTGCTGGCTGAGCGAGGGAGCTGCTCTGGAAGGATTGCTCCAAGGGCCCTGTGTCACTGCCAGTTGCTCTGATGATCAGTGCCATACTCCAGGAATTAAATTCCTTCCAGTGTCTTCTCTGTGTAAGATTTTAGAAGAGGATTTTCTAGAAGCATCAATACTGATTGGCCTCTGATTACAGCTGTAATCTGCAGAACTTTTAAGCCTTTATTAACAATGCCCATAATGCTTATGGTTTAATTTTACTTAAGTAGACAAATGGTGGGCTGTAATTTTTAGGGTGTTTGACTTATGGGTGAACAAACAGGAGTAATGTGAATAGGGGAATAAATACAGGGAAAGGTAGCATGTACTTCAGTCGGGCCCTGCAACGTAGAACGCACGTTAGGAGGGAAATCCAGTTTTCTTGGCTCCAGTAGCATGGTGGTGGGAGTGAAGATTTGGGTTTACCATGAGCTAAAGTGGTCACATTCTAAAGATTTATTGATCTTTCGGAACTCTGCAGCCTGAGGCCCTTTTTGTAGTTGGAACCTGTGAGTCTGAATAGTTCAGATCTTGTCACCTCTTCCATCTGTTGCATTGTCTCTTTTCCTTAATAGAAATACTTAGGTATTTCTGCAGTTGACAGGAAATTGTTTTAGGTTTAGCCAAGAGTTGGCAGTGACTGTTCTGCCTGCCCTCCAGTCGAGAGAGATTTAATGAGCAATGTTTTTATTTAAGAGGTCTGTTCCCAAGCTGATACATGAACTGCTCTGAGGAGTATCTCTTCCTTTCTGTTTTTCAGATCACCCAGGAAGCTGGAGAGTTTATGATTACGTTTCCTTACGGTTACCACGCTGGCTTCAATCATGGCTTCAACTGTGCCGAGTCTACTAACTTTGCTACTTTGCGCTGGATCGACTATGGAAAAATGGCAACCCAAGTAGGTGTCTGTATGGATGGAGGGTCACTTGAAGCCACTTGCTCGTGAAATACAAAGGAATGAGAGTGGGAGACATCAGAACAAAATGGGAAGTGCTGTTGCTTTGACAATATGCTCTTTCATTGTGCTGTGCTGCTGTTTCACGCCTGTTGATAATTTGTGCCGATTTGAGGGCATAGTAATGACTTTCTCAAATGCTAGGTGTTACATACACCATGTGGAGGGGTTGTTTTGAGGCTAATAAGTCAGAATTAGTTTTCCGATGCATCTAAACTGCATGTCACGGTGAATAAGGTGACTGATGTAAAGGAATCCAATTCATTAGGTGCACGTTGAAGGGGAAAGAACAAGCTGGAAATACTTTTAAGCTTTAGTAAGGCTATGGTAATAACCTTCTGGAAGTATCCGTATTTCTCTATGCACTGTACAGAAGCTCTTAGTTCAGTCTGAGGAGGAGAGTCATGCTGGAATGGTTTTGTGTGGCTCTTTCTCAGCAGGGCAAATTTCTCGTGTGTTTTTTTACTTCTGACGGTTCTGAAGTCAGTGATGGTTTTCATGGCTGCACACATGCTGCGTTCTCTCGGTTTTAAGTGTGAACTATAACTGGTCAGCTTAACTGATTCAGTCGGATCTGTGAATTTTTAAAGCAGGGTTCAGTTCCACACAAGACTTTGGGCAAATGAGAAACGATTACAGTGGGGGTAGCAATTTAAAGTTGCCTCAGATGCTCCTTTCCAGAAAGGCAGGTTTAGTTTTCACTCTAGAACAGCATTTATAATACCTCCTTGGCTTATTTTTCTTCTGTTAACTCCGCTTGACTCTCTAACTTTTGTAGTGCATCCTAATGCTTTGTTCTGGGCAAAACCAGCTCTGTTCAAAACTAATTGCAAGTACAACTGTGTCTCAATCTGTGGAACAATGCAATGATGTCCACTTTTCCTTCACAAAGGTGTATATTCTGAGAGTAGTGAAAGGTAGGTGATTACTGAATGGCATCATTCTCTTCTCAGCTTTGGGCTCCAGGTGTCCTTGGCAGTGCCCTTTTTAACCCTCCACCTTTTTGCTGTGATGCCTTCAGCCATTCCTGAGCCAAGCTGAAACCTTCCGCACAGAACTGTATTCGGCAGCGATCAGCGTTGTGCGTTAATCAGCCTGAGTGGCTGCTTGGTGACTAACCTGAGTCACACGTGATGCTTCTGGAGGCTGGCGCGGCGGGCTTCAAGGGAGCTTGCAGAATCACAAAGAAAGCCTGTGCTGCTGCTTCCTATTTTTCCTTTTTAATAAGTGAATATCATTAACGCAACCTGAAGATGGTTGTCGCCCCACAGGAGCTTTTTTCCTGCTTTTTCCTATCCTTAGTATTCTCTCTCCCCCCTCAGCATCTGCAGACAGGCAGTCTTTGGTTGTCCAATGGCACCATGCTCCCTGTCTGAGACGTTCATCCCACAGAAAGCAAGCTTAGCCCTTTACACAGATTCACAGAGCGGTCGGGGTTGGAAGGGACCCCTAGAGACCATCTAGTCCAACTCCCTGCCAGAGCAGGATCCCCTAGAGCAGATCACACAGGAACAAGTCCAGGGCCTTTGGAGAGTCTCCAGGGAAGGAGACTCCACCCCTCTCTGGGCAGCCTG